TAAATAATATTTAAACAATACATGTTAGTTTATTAATTTTTTCACAAAAACGACCTTAATCTGACCCAATTTGTTGATACTCCCACCAGACCAAACAAGTGTTGTCCTGAAAAATCTCCCATCTTAGACCTATTTCTAACAAATATGCCTCATAAATTCCCTGGTATAGGTATATTCACTGATGGTTTGAATGACCATTGTGTAATAGCAGCTCTCAGGGACATTAAACATCCACACTCTAAGCCCAGACTAATTCAAAAAAGGGATTTGAAACATTTTTGTGAACAGTCATTCCTCTGGGATTTATCTCACTTTGACTGGCATCGTATTCTGTTAACTGATGACGTGAACTCCGCTTGGAACTATTTTCATAATATTTTCATTTATTTTGTGAACAAACATGCTCCTTTTCACCAGTTCAGAATAAAAGGACGAGACAGCCCTTGGTTTACTCCTGATCTAGCTGACCTTCTTCACAGGAGAGATCAGCTTTGGGCTCTAGCGAGAAAATCTGGCTCAGACACAGACTGGTTGAACTTTCGACAGCTGAGGAATAAATGTACAACTTCCATCAAAGCTGCAAAACATAACTATTTCTTATCTCAGACCTCCAAAAATCTAAATGATCCTAAAAGATTCTGGAAAACCATCAAATTTCTCTCTGGCAGTTCCCAATCATCTGATCTCTCATCACAACTTTTTGTTAACTCTGTTCCTGTGTCAAATAAACATGAGATCCTGAATTGTTTCAACATTTTGTTGCTTCTAGTTCTTTATTTGACACAGTTACTAATGGAAAATCAGCCACTTCCCCTAAAAGTCAAACATCTACAAACCAAATCTCTTCTACAAGTTAATCTTCAGCAAATCACACCTTTTCTCTTTCCCCATTTCCAGTTAGTGAAGTTAATAAACTCTTTAAAGGTCTAGACTCTAAAAAATCTGCAAGACCAGATGACCTTCCACCTTATTTCTTAAGGCTGGCTGCTCATATCATCACAGTCCCCGTGTCCCACATCTTTAATCTGTTCATAAGCCAAAACTCTATTCCAGACACTTGGAAAACAGCCTTTGTTCTATATTTGCTGAAGGGAAGTGACCCCACCTCAATGAACAATTATCGACCAATCTCTAAACTCTGCATTTTAACCAAGGTTCTAGAGAAAGTGATCAACTCTCAAATCAAAAAGTATTTGGACACACTTAACATCTTACCTCCCCATCAATCTGGTTTCAGGAAACAACACAGCACATCTGCTTCGCTGAAGGTTTTTAATTACATTGTTGAAGCACGAACACTAAGGAATATTGTGCTGCACTTTTCTTAGACCTGTCTAAAGCTTTTGATACTGTGGACCATGATATCTTGTGTCATAAGCTCTCAGAAAGTGGTTTCGCAGAACACACCATTGGTTGGTTCTTTAGCTATCTTTCAGATCGGAGGTAATGTGTTCAACATAATGGTATTTCCTCCAGTTATTTAACAGTCAACAATGGTGCACCACAAGGCTCAGTCTTAGGATCCACCCTCTTTACAACCTACATAGGTAATATAGGTCAGAGCATCCCTTACATTTCTATGCTGATAATATAGTTGTTTACTGTCGAGCTAAAACAGTTGCTAAGTCTTTCCAGCTTTTGCAATCCACTTTTGACATCATCCAGTCAGATTTGTTCTGTCTCAAACTTGTCCTAAATGCTGACAAAACCAAAGGGATGTTGTTTTCAAACAGGAAGTCAGTCCCAGCAGTTCTTCCTCTGATTTTATCCTCAAATGGTGCCTCTATTGAGTTTGTCGATTCCTACAAATATTTGGGTATCTTGGTCGATTCACATCTCTCTAAAGTGGAAAACCTAGTAAGGAAACAAAGTTAAATTGGGTTTCTTTTTCAGAATAGATCCTGTTTAACTTTGAATGCTAGGAAATGCCTTGTAACAATGTCTGCTGCCTTCATACATCTCCTCCTACATGTCACTGCGTGAGTGCAGCTACAGCACATGCTCTCTGGACATTATTACGTGTGTGTGTGTGTATGTGTGGGGGGGGGCATACCCGTTGAATGGGTGGTACAGTCACGCGTTGCTTAGAAGAGGGCTCACACTGCTCCTCGTCCGCACTCTCATCCACCGATAGGTGGGAGGAAGAAGCCAGAGGGAGGGAGGTTATCCGCACGCGCAACACTTTGTGCTGGCGTGGAGTCATATTTGTGCTGCTTGGGAACCGTGAACCCATGGCTGCATTTATATGTCCATTTAAAAGTCATCATTTCACTCTGTGTGGGGTGTGTGTGAAGAGGGCACAGCAGGATCATTCGATCTGACTGTAGTGAGGATTCTACTCGTTGAGTGATGTTATGACCCCAGTCGTAAGTTGAATGTGTGTGAGTGTGCAAAGCCCTAATTGTGCCAATTAGTGTCCAGGTGTGCAGCTGGAGGAAGAAACTGCTGAACGAAGCTGTGATTGGCTGCCTGCCTGGAGGTGCTGCACAATAAGAGGAGCTGAGTTGGAGAAGACAGTATCAGGTTTTAACAACGTCGACCCCCACGTGAGCAGACCAATTCAATAAAGACAGAGTCAGGACTTCAAAAGGTAAGTGAACTTTATTTACAGGTGAATCTTGTTGTCGCAGCTGGAAGGGAGAAGAGGAATAGGTGAGTATGGGTTCTGGTGTCTCTTTGAATGTTTTAATTCTTGAAGATAGAAAGCTGACTCCTTACTGTTTGTGTTGTAGGTGAAGGCCAAGAAGGAGAGGAGAGGTCCTGGGTTTTTGTAGGAGATCCAGTCCTGAGGTATTTGGCGGTGGAGAGAGGAGCAGGTTGACCCAGTTGAGAATGCCTTAATGGTGAATGTTGAAGAGACATCGTTGATCCACAGATGGAGTCCAGTGGAGTGATGAGATCCTAGGAAGGATCTGAAGAGGCAGGCCGTGGAAGGTCCTGGAGGAGTCACAGTTGGTGAGAACCAGCTGTAACAAAGGTTAGTCGGCTGTACACGAATTTACCATTTGGTAGAAGATGTCCCAGCACTGAAGAGGTGTCTGGCAGGTGTTTAAATACCCCATCAGGCAGTCCTCCTCAGAGCAACAGCAGGTGGAGTGAGTTGAGTTAATTGGCTGTGGAAGGAAGAGTGAGTGACAGGAAAAAACCCAGGAATCCCACAGTACCCCCCCTCAAGAATTGTCTCTTGGCGATCTAAGTCTCTTTTTGGGGTGAGCTTGGAAAAAGGACGAGATGAGTCCGGGATCCGGGATCTGAGCTCTGGGAACCCATGATCGTTCCTCCGGGCCGTAACCCTCCCAATCCACCAGGTATTGGACATCCCAACCAAGACGCCATACGTCCAAAAGGCGTCGGACCAAGAAGGCCGGTTCATTGTCTATGAGACATGGGGGAGGAGGGAGGTTGGTCAGAGGGTGTAGAGGGCTGGTGGTTACCGGTTTGATGTGAGATACGTGGAAAGTAGGGTGTATCTTCATGGCAGGCGGGAGTTGTAGGTGCACGGCTGACCGGTTAATCACCTTTACCACAGGAAACGGCCCGATGAACCTGGGGGAGAGTTTCCTGGGGATGTCTTTTAAGGTTATATCCTTGGTAGACAGCCATACCTTCTGATCCACCTTGTAGACAGGAGCCTTGGATCAATGTCTGTCGGCGAAGCGTCTGTTCTGCTCCGAAGACCTGGACAGAGCAGCTCTCGTCTTACGCCAGATCCGACGGCAGCGCTTGATGTGAAGGT